CAGTGCAGAGAAGCTAAAACAGGAGAAATATGATCTCGTTTCTTAGTTCCTGTTAGTACACGTGCTGCTGCATTCTGAATTAGCTGGAGAGTTTTTAAGGACTTACTAGAGCTACCTGATAATAGAGAGTTACAGTAATCCAGACTAGAGGTAACAAAAGCGTGGACCAATTTTTCTGCATCTTTTCGGTCACAACATGATGACATGACCACAACATGATGACTACATGACCACAACATGATGACTACATGACCACAACATGATGACTACATGACCACAACATGACGATGTGCTGAGATCAGATTATTCATATTTCATGATTCATAACAGACTGAAGTTTATTTTCTCAGCTGTTTGATTATTCTGATCAATAATCAATGTCTGCTGTTTTTAATATTTTATCATGTCCTTGATTATTAATTAATTTAAATCTGTCCCTCCCTGACAGTAAGCAATATTATTAATCTGTGATGTCACAGATCGTCCAGGTGTGTCCAGGTGTGTCCAGGTGTTAGACTGGTTCAGAATCAGAATCAGCTTTATTCTCCCAGTACGTGTGCACACACAGGGAAGTTGACTGCCGTAGACCTGCTCTCAGTGTACCAGAAATGACTCAAGGTACTCAAATTTACAGATGTGTAAACAATGAATTTATTTTTTACACTGTAAAAATATAAAACATTAAATCACAGTTCTGATCAATAAAACAGTTCATTTGATTTTTATTAAAAAATTTCTTAAAAAGTTGATCCAGTAAAATAAAAAGATCAAACACACGGCGTGTTCAGAGTCTGTTTACATTTAATCGTTTTAATGTCCATCTGATTTTTAGAAAAACAAAATCATTTGTTTCATAGCTGAGTTTGTTTATTTGTTTGTTTGTTGGGATCCTTTGGCACGATGATGTCAGTGTTCACGTGATCAGACCTGTCGTCACTCTGGATCTCTCAATAAAGTTTTGATTTTAACATCTTTACAAATGACAGCAGCATGTCACATCAGGCTCCGCCCCTTTTTGGGTGAAATCAGCACTTCCTGTATCAAATTTAAATTCTGAAGTTTTTAAAATAAAAAAAAATGCATGGAAATAAAAAACAACAACAAGATGAACGATGACATCACTGCAGGTCAACCATCCCTGTCATCATGGAGACAGAAATAAACTTGATTTTGATTAATTTTCATGTTACTGTTATTTTGTGTTTGTGTTTTATGCTTTGGCAATAATGTTTTACTGAAAACTTTCATGCTTTAATAAAGCAATAAAGCTTTTGAATTTGAATTTAAAGAAACATGTTAATGATTTGGTTTGTGTCCATCACAGCGACCCAACGTGTCACTTCCTGAACAGGACGTCAGTTTGGGTCAACTGTGCTTCAATAGCTGCACGCCAATTAACTCGTTACTGACTGGGTCGTTTTTAAGAGAAAATACATAAAATGCCGTTGACGTTCATTCGGAGTGAGTCAAATAAAAGACTTGTGCAGCGCTCTGACCACAACACGCCTCCTCACACACGCTTCATATGACATCCTGCGATTTATTGCCCCATGAATGACATCACATCCTCATCATAAAGTTTCTGAGATTAAAGAAAAAACAAACATGGCGACAACGTTCCTTAAATTAAGTCAGAGTTCAGAGACTGATGAACTGAACACTTCCTGTGGAAACAGAAGTTTATTTTGAAAAGACATGATGATATCCGCAGCAGATGCAAGAGGAAACTCAACGCGTCACATTAAGACGTGAAAGTCGACGGACAAAGCAACGAGTTATGATGAGAGCACGTGTGCTGACTTCCTGGTCAAAGTTGGTCTTCCTGTCCGTCCTCCTCAGACTTTCTCGCTCTTTGTGCTTTTTTGCCGATGGCGTCACAAACTGCCGACACCTGTTCTGAATCAGTCTGTGTCCGACTGTTCCAGATTCTGATGTGTGATGAAGGCTTCGTCTCAGACGTCCGTCGCTCTTTGGGGATGAGACAAAATCCTAAACTGTATTTTTATTTTTTTGTCAGCAGCTTTTTTACAGTGTTGTTTTTAGGGGGTGTGGCCTTTGTGACGATGCTGTCATGACAACATGAGACACTGAGACACATTTTGATTGGACGAAATGATCAGGACAGCTGGTAGATGTTCTTCATCATCGGCTCCTCCTCATTGTCGTCATCATCATCATCATCACCCTCATGGCACTCTGAGAGGATAAAAAGGAGGCGGAGTCAGAGCAGATTTTTACAGGGGGGCTTCTTTTAGTACCAGGTGGTGGTTTAATGACCTCTGTGAGCTCGCTCCTCTCCTCCTCCACCTCCTCCTCCTCCTCTCTTCACGGCATCTCCTCCTCTGACCTCCTCTTCCTCCTCCTCTCTGAACTCACAGATGTTCCTGTACGCCGACTGTGAAGAAGAAGATGACACCGTGTTCAGATGCGACCTGAAGCCTGCCAGACACATCTGAGGGCACAGCTCAGACAGGAAGTTGTCTCACCTGCTCGCTGTGATGTGGCGAAATGTCACTGGTGGAGGGAAGGAGCCTGTTGATGAGCTCAGCGATCGTTTTAAAGGTTGGTCTGTGTGTGGGCTCCAGACTCCAGCAGAGCTTCATCAGCTGATACCTGAGAGGACGACAGGTGAGGACGACAGGTGAGTCTGTCACAATCATAACAACTTTATTTAAACTAACGTCTGTCTGTCCGTCTGCTCACATGTCTGCTGGAGCAAAGTCAGGCTGATCCATGTGGCGTCCATCTTGGATCATCTTGTAGAAGTTGGTATCCACGGCAACATTAGGGTACGGACTCTTACCTGAACAGGAGGACACAAACACACTGTCAGCCAATCACAGAGCTTCAGACTCTGTCGCCAGGCAGACATGTCATAGGTCTGAGTGGAGGCGTCTCCATGGCAACAGCTGCTGAGGCTCATGGGTACCGAACCACTGAAGAACTTAATGTCACGATCAATAACTAATATTAATCAGAGCTGTGATGTGATTGGACGAGGTGTTGCCATGGTTACCCAGGGAAAAGGTCTCCCACAGTAGAACTCCGTAGGACCAGACGTCGCTCTGGACGGTGTAGACGCACTGAAAGATGCTCTCTGGCGCCATCCACTTCACCGGGAGACGAGCCTGTCAAAATAAAACACAGGAAGACGTCACAATAAAAGTCGGGGACGTGGTTCCACCTGATTCACCTGGACGCTGAGGATGGACACGCACGTTTCCCTGGACGATGTAACTGTCGTCGTTACGGATGTCTCGCGCCAAACCGAAGTCACAGATCTTTGCTACACGACGATCAGTCAGTAGGACGTTCCTCGCCGCCACGTCTCTGTGGATACACTGAGAGACAGACAGGTGGAGAGACAGAAAGGTGGACAGACAGGTGGAGAGACAGACGGGTGGAGAGACAGAAAGGTGGACAGACAGGTGGACAGACAGGTGGAGAGACAGAAAGGTGGACAGAAAGGTGGACAGACAGACGGGTGGAGAGACAGAAAGGTGGAGAGACAGGTGGAGAGACAGACAGGTGGAGAGACAGACAGGTGGACAGACAGGTGGAGAGACAGAAAGGTGGACAGACAGGTGGACAGACAGACGGGTGGAGAGACAGAAAGGTGGACAGATAGGTGGAGAGACAGACAGGTGGAGAGACAGACAGGTGGACAGACAGGTGGAGAGACAGAAAGGTGGACAGACAGGCGGAGAGACAGAAAGGTGGACAGATAGGTGGAGAGACAGACAGGTGGAGAGACAGACAGGTGTTGAATAATGTTTTGATGTTTCTGGACTAATTTTAGTTTTCATGATGAGGACTCATCTGTCCTCACTCGTTAGAGTCAGGTTGAGGTCGAGTGGAGAGTGTGTGTGTGTGTGTGTGTGTGTGTGCGTGTGTGTGTGTGTGTTCTTACATTCCTGGTGGACAGAAAGTCCAGACCCTGAGCGACCTGGTAGGAAAACCTCATGAGGTCTTCAACAGAGATACTGTCTATCTGCATACCTGAGGGACAGACAGACAGTGAGACAGACAGACAGGTGTGACCTCAGAAACAAAATTCCAGGTGTGTTCAGGTTGTTACCTGAGTGTTTTTGTCCTGGACTCAGAGCCGGCTGCATCTCCTGATAATCTGAACAACACGAGATCCCACTGTCACTGACACACACACACACACACACACACCCACACACACACACAATGTGAGCAGGTTTATTTGTGTCGTTGGCGTCGCAGTTTGGACACGTGTGAGCTTGTGTATAACCTGACCTCCTGAGCCTGGCGTGCTGGGCGGCCATGTTCTTATAGAACACTTCCCCCTCTGATTCGTCCATGCTCACAATGGACGTCATGAAGTCCTGAGCGTGGGCCCGCAGGAAGTTGAGCAGGTCGCCGTGGCTACAGTACTCTGTGATCATCAACATGGGGCCTGATGGAAGGAAGACAGAGGTCAAAGGTCAGAGAGATGACAGGAAACAGTGAAAACTGTGCGTCACAGTTTCTCAACATTAACACGTTCATTCCATCCAAACATTCTGTTTAACTTCCAGTCAGAGTGAAACTGCGACGCACGCCGTGTGGCAACTGACACGCAGTAATCTGTGGCGACACACTGAGACCAGATGGAGGCTGTTTGTTACATTATTTAATGACTGAATTAATTCATGTGTTCATCAAAACGTTGTGACTTCCTGTCGCCGGCTCTGATTGGTTCAGATTGAAGATCTTTATAATAAACTCTGTCTCGCCGCTCGCTGTGGATCTGATCACACAGGAGGAAGTGGGGACGCTGTTAGGAACTACTTTCAGCGGCGGATGAATCCACAGCAGAGTCTGTGGTTAAACATCGAACCGTCATCACCTCCTCGCGTGCAGGCTCCCAGCAGGTTGACGATGTTGTCATGGTAACCAAGGTAGCCGAGGATCTTGAGCTCTGACATCAGAGCTTCACGTTCCACCAAGTGAGCGCTCGCTGTTCAGGAAGACAGGAAGTATGAGTCACAACCATGATGATGATAATGATGAAGGTGAAGATCTGGGGACTCACGCTTGAGCATCTTGACAGCGACTCGGGTGGCGTCCTTCGTTCCCAGACCGTACGCTGTCGCCTCAACGACCTTCCCGAACGCCCCCGATCCCAAAACAGCGCCTGAGAGACAGAGAGGAGGTCAAACTAACTCATAGGACAGAGAGGACAGAGGACCAACACGGAGAGGACGGAGGACAGGGGACAGAGAGGACAGAGGACCAAGACGGAGAGGACGGAGGACGGAGGACAGAGAGGACAGAGGACCAAGATGGAGGACGGGGGACGGGGGACAGAGGAGAGAGAGGACACAGGACCAAGACGGAGAGGACGGGGGACAGGGGACAGGGGACAGAGAGGACAGAGGACCAAGACGGAGAGGACGGAGGACGGGGGACAGAGAGGACAGAGGACCAAGACGGAGAGGACGGAGGACGGGGGACAGGGGACAGAGGACAGAGAGGACAGAGGACCAAGACGGAGAGGACGGGGGACGGGAGACAGAGGACAGAGAGGACAGAGAGGACAGAGGACAGAGGACAGGAGGACAGGAGGACAGAGGGACAGACAGCTGAGACATGTCTTCACATGAGACCTGACAGCAGAGGATGATGGAAGATCAGTGACTGTATCAATAATGAACACAGATAAAAGGAGTGTTGAGACGTGCAGTGCTGTGATTGGATGGTGTGTCGCACCGAGGCGGAGCTTGTCTCGAGGAAACTCCCACTTGTGGTTGTACGGCAGCTGGGTGGGGTCAACAAAGGTGTAGCTGTTTCCATCAGTGCTCTCGATGATCTTCCAACGAGTCTCGTATTTGGGTTTCTGAGACAAGAAGAAGAAGAATGAGTGAATGAATGAATGAGTGAATGAGAGAGTGAATGAATGAATGAATGAGTTAATAAGTGGATGAATGAATGAATGAATGAATGAATGAATGAATGAGAGAATGACAGAATGATTGAATGAATGAATCAGTAAATAAGTGGATGAATGAGTGAATGAATGAGTGAATGAGAGAATGAATGAGTGAATGAGAGAATGAGTGAATGATTGAATGAATGAATGAGTGAATAAGTGGATGAATGAATGAATGAGTGAATGAGAAAATGAGTGGATCAATGATTGAGTGAGTGAATGAGAGAATGCGAGAATGAGTGAATGAGGGAATGAGTGGATGAATGATTGAGTGAGTGAATGAGAGAATGAGAGAATGAGTGAATGATCGAATGAGTGAATGAGTGAATGAGAGAATGAGGGAATGAATGAGAGAATGAGTGAATGAGTGAATGAGAGAATGAGGGAATGGGTGAATGAGAGAATGAGGGAATGAATGAGTGAATGAGAGAATGAGAGAATGAGTGAACGATTGAATGAGTGAATGAGTGAATGAGAGAATGAGGGAATGAATGAGAGAATGAGTGAATGAGTGAATGAGGGAATGAGTGAATGAGAGAATGAGGGAATGAATGAGTGAATGAATGAGAGAATGACAGAATGATTGAATGAATGAGTGAATAAGTGGATGAATGAATGAATGAGTGAATGAGAGAATGAGAGAATGAGTGAGTGAATGAGTGAGTGAATGAATGAGTGAATGAGAAAATCGAGAATGAGGGAATGAATGAGTGAATGAGAGAATGAGTGAATGAGAAAATGAGTGAGAGAATGAGTGAATGAGAGAATGAGTGAATGAATGAGAGAATGAGTGAATGAGTGAATGAGGGAATGAGTGAATGAGTGAATGAGTGAATGAATGAGAGAATGAATGAATGAGTGAGTGAATGAGTGAATGAGAGAATGAGTGAATGATTGAATGAGTGAATGAGGGAATGACTGAGTGAATGAGTGCATGAGTGAATGAGTGAATGAGAGAATGAGAGAATGAGTGAATGAGAGAATGAGTGAATGAGTGAGAGAATGAGAGAATGAGTGAATGAGTGAATGAGTGAATGAATGAGAGAATGAGTGAATGAGTGAATGAGGGAATGAGTGAATGAGAGAATGAGTGAATGAGTGAATGAGAGAATGAGTGAATGAGTGAATGAATGAGAGAATGAGTGAATGAGTGAATGAGGGAATGAGTGAATGAGAGAATGAGTGAATAAGTGAATGACTCAGCGTTCAGGAAAATAAATTCAACAGGTCAGAGAGAAGAGGAAAGTTAATGTGTCTCTAAGAGACACACTGTCTCTCAGGCTGAACGATGAACATTATCATCTATGAGCTTACTTAGGACACAGAGACACACAGAACACAGAGACACACTGAGGACACTGAGACACACTGAGGACACAGACACACTGAGGACACTGAGACACTGAGGACACTGAGACACACTGAGGACACAGACACACTGAGGACACTGAGACACTGAGGACACTGAGACACACTGAGGACACTGAGACACACTGAGGACACAGACACACTGAGGACACTGAGACACTGAGGACACTGAGACACACTGAGGACACAGG